GGGTTGACGTGAAGTTGGGAGGTTGGATTGGAAGGAGGCGGGAAAAGGCAGGTCAACACATATAGGCAGAGCTTGTGGCGGGGAGGTGGGGCAAAGGCGGGGTCATGGGAGAGGAGATAAGAGTTGATCTTACTCCTCCTCACCATCGGTCATGTCACTTCGCTGCTGTTTGGTCACATGTAGGTGGATTATGGTAGGGTGACGAGAGGGAGAGGAAGGAGGCGTGGAGTGTTTGTCTAGTTGGCACCTGACAATAAGAAGTACTGTGGAGTGCGAGGAAAGGGGGTGCAATAGATGGTTGAGTATGAGTGTCGTTTGAGTGGTGAATTGCACTGCTGTGAGACCAAAGGGTGGGCAGTGGTTGGAGGGAGCGTCAACCCTTTAATCCCTTGGTGGTCAACGCCAAATGCCCTTCGTCCCTTGCCTTCAAGGTGCGTATCGCGCGCTCGTCCGTTTGCAGTGAGGGCTACTGAAGCACGAGTACTTGCAGAAGTGGAAGGAGGCTGCGGGGCTGTAGTGTGGTGCGCATTGCTGTCGTGGAGGTGGTTTGAGGAGGATTGTCAGGTCTTGGGTAGCATGCAGCCAAGGAGGAGTACAACGGTGAAGGAAATTCGTGGTGATTTGGCGAATTGTGGACGGGTGTTCGCCAGAGATGGGAAGTGAAGCGTGCGTTGTTGCTAGGAATGCATTCAAAGTGTTACTTTGTTGTCGGAGGTTTGCACAAAAACAGCTGGGCACAATGTGCTGCTATTTGCACAAGGTCGTGGTGAAGAAGCGGAAGAAGAAGAAGAAGAGGGAGGAGGAGGGGGAGGAGGAGGAGGAGGAAAAGGAAGAAAAGTGTCCTTTTTTATATAAAATGTTATTTATAGAAATTGGGTCTGTTGCGACCGCTTCATCTGAAGAAACTGCTGATTCACGTCAGTCTGCGCACAACGTGCGACATGGTGGCAACACGCGAGACTGCGTCCTTGCCTGCCATCTCACCTCATCCGGAATTCGACGTTTCCGGTACGTGCACAAATACTATTGATTCCACCACCACCACCACCACCACCACCACCACCACCACCACCACC